ACATGATTCATTAATCTCATAAATGTACTAGGTGCATTAGTAAGTCCAAATGGCATGACTAACCACTCATACAACACATTTAAGTTTTAAAAATGATTTTTCATTCATCTCCTTCCCCCATTCTAATTTGATGATAACCACTTTTAAGATCAATTTTACTAAATATGCATGATCCATGTAATTCATCTAACATATTATCTAACCTAGAAATAGGATAACGATACTTTACCGTTATATTGTTGATAGCCCTACAGTCTATACACATCCTCCAAGTTCCATCTTTTTTTGGCATAGTTAGCACTGGTACATCACATTGACTCATATTGTTCCTCACACACCCTTTGCTCATAATTCTTCGACTTGCCTTTGAAGTTCCTTAGTCTCCTCGGGATTACTCCGGTAAGTCGGCCTGTTTGGAATGACAGCTCTAGGTACGAAATTAATTTGATGTTCAATGCCTCGAATAAGTGGTAGCCCTCTAGGCATGTCCTCCATGAACATGTCATCAAATTCCTGCAATATAGCAATAGCCAAACTAGGGAGGGATATATTAGATTCCTCAAGATTGATGAGTAACTCCTTATAAACCAACAAGATCATTGGTTGGTTCTCAACTGCTGCCTTCTTCAACTCACTTCTTTTTGCGAAGAAATTTACCCTCGAATTTTCTTCCATCTCATAAGACTTTTTTTCATGTCTTGTGGTTCTACTCTTTTTTCTCACTTTTAGCCATCTTACTATTTTCTCTCTTACTCTCTTGTCGTGAAAGATCAATCCCACTCCATTTTTCTCTCAATCTTTTTTCTTACTCACTTTTCAGTTTAATTTGATCTTCATACACTTGTTATGGTGTCAATGGCGCAATAGTAATAGATTTCTCATCCTTAATAAAGTTGTAGCTATTTTTGTACCCATCATGAATCACCTTCCTATCTATTGTCATGGCCTCTCCAACAAAATATGCCCAGAATGCATAGGAATTACATTACAAACCACTTCATATTGATACAAACCAATTGAGAAACTCACCAACACTCGTCTATTCACGTTAACCTACCTACATTCATTCAA